AACAAAAAGACCAGAACACATCCTCTCCAGCAGCCTACACGCAGATAAACAGGGATTAACACCAGACAAACAATCAAGCAGCAAACAATACTCTAATCAAGGAACTATCAATGAGACAAACAATCAAGCAGACAAACAATCAAGCAGAAAACAATACTGTAATCAAGGAACTACCAAGGAGAAACACCCCCCCCCAACACTGGCAGGGGAAACTACTGTACAAAAACAGAGAGAAAAACCCACACTCACCAGCGCTGATGATGTTACCTCGTTTGGGAAATGAAACATCTGCAAGCAAACAACCCAGCTCAGAGAGCACCAAGGACTCCACAGTTCAACCCTGAGCTACATATGTTCTCTTCTACTGGAACCACATAGCTCTGTTTCTGATCAGCCTGGAACATGAAGGGAAAATATACTGGCATATTGGCAATTGGTGTCAACAGAGAGAGCTTTTAACTATGTTTGCTAGAGTTAGGTGGCTGTTTCTTTGTAGACTGTTTCAGCCCTTCCTCACATGGAGACTCTAAACATATAGGACTACAGGTCCTACCATCAACAGCCAAATGGCTACTGGCCATCCTCACTGGCTGTGCTGGCTGGGAATGATAGAAGTTATGACCCAGTGTACTGAAGGGCATCTGGTTGGGTAAGACTGATATTTCAAACACAAAGTGCCCTCAAGCAATACAGATTATTATGTTCAGCATGTCACAAAGAGTTTTTTTCCCATTAATGTTTCTTTAAGCACAAGAAAATGATTTTTTTAAAAAAAAAATTGAATATCTTTTGGTCTAAAGAGGGAGTTCTGACTCTGCGTGCAAAACCTCCACATGAAGCTGAGTTTCTTGACTGCTTTCAGAAAATCAAGCTGGCACTAAATCTCCTGGTAAGAAGCAAAGGGTATTGGGTATAATTTTTTCTTGTCTCATCTAGATAGGTAATGGCATAGTTGCTTGCTTCATGCTATTATTGGGAATCAACCAAATATTATGCTTTTACACTCAAAGAGCATGGAATCTCAGTAGGAAATAGCGAACAGCTTTACAAAGTTCCAAAAAAATAGCCATGGTAATGTCAGGTCCAGCCCTAGAACAGCAGCGAGGCAATCCAGTACAGTTCAGTTCCTTTATTAGCCAGCACCTAATAGACAAAATCTCGCCAGACTAAACCTATGCTAACGCAACTAGTGGCTATAACCCGTGAGCCTCTAGGGAGGGGCCAGCCTCATCCTCTTCATCTTCCCATACTCTTGCTGTGGGCTGAGGAGGCGGTTGCCCTGGAATGTCTCCCCCCCCCCTTCTATTCCAGAATCTTTCCCACTCATGCCATCCATTACAGGTAATGTGTTGCAGCAGAACCCGTGACACTTTAAAAAGTAACATATTCAAGCATAAGTTTTTGTGTCATATAATCCATTTCATAAGATGCATTGAGGATTACCCTGAGAGAGACACTGGTGTACATTTATTACTGGAAAATGAGAGGTGGAGGCTGTGAAGAACAGTCACAGGTAATGTTAGAGGAAGACCAAAATAATATCCATTCACAAAATGTCAGCAGATAGGGCAAATACTCTCTTGCACTGGTGAACAGATTAACTCATATACATGTTACATATCACGTCATATAATGAGGTCTCATTTCCTCTTCCACTCATCCCTGAAAAGGGAGAAGCAGCAATTCTGAATAGAACAATTGTTTGTAGAGAAAAGGTTAAGCTTTCTCCCACCAATCATCCGGTCAAATTCTCAGATGTGAAGGTTTTCTAAAACCTTTCTAAAAAAAACTCGGGTGGTTGCAAGATCTTGTTTACTTTGGATAAATAGCTCAAGTTAAAAATTGTAATCCTCAAACTGGCTGTTCTCAGAGTATCCCTACCCCAGCTTTGTCAAGCCCAGAGCTCCTACATGTGTTGGATTACAACTCACATCATCCCCAGCCAAGTGTTGACAATGAGAGTCCTATTTATTTGTTTGAAAACTGTTTATTCTGCATGTTCATTGTTAAAATTAAGCCAAAGTAGGGAGGGCATGTGTGTCATATAAGAGGTAGTGTGGTATGGTGGTTAAGGCATTGGCATGGAATTGGAAAGCTCCAAGGTTCAAAGTCACCTTCAATCCTAGCAATTCCCTCTCTCTTAGCATGCCCTACCTCACAAGGATGGTATGGTGGGAAAAGAAGGTAGATGGAGGAGTGCTTTGTAAGGTGCCTTGCTCTTGATTTTTGCGGGAAACAGAAAAAAAATGAAATTATATTCTATGGATTTGATGATTAGAAATAACATGGGTTAATAGAAATAATGGAAGTTACGTTTTAAATTTAGAATAAGAGTTTGATGTACTATTGTTACTTATATCTGTTGCAAGGAGGGTGGGAAGTCAATTTTTTTTTCTTTTGTTCTTTTTCTTTTCTGCACTTTTGATTTTTACTATTTTCTCTTTTTTTCAATTTTCTTCTCCTTTCAATATTAGTTTTTGTTAGGTTTTACTGTTCCTTTTTTTAAAAAAAATAATAAAATTATTGTAAGGTGCCTTGCACTCTTGGAGGAAATAACCACATGTAGGTAGGTAGATAGACAAAGGGATGAATGGATATGCTGGTTCTTGCAGAATGGGAGAAGTGTCAGGGCTATAAGCAATTGCCAAACTGCTTCTATCTATTGTTTGAATGGCTTTCAATCTTTTGTGAAAATAACAAGGCAGCAGATTCTTACCAGTATAAAGAACAGGTATGCTCATTTCCCATATCATCACCCATGAACAGAGTACATTTGCCATTCTTATAAATCCCTCTCATGGGGTTTCCTTTGCAGTTTAGCCTCTTTCAGGTGCTACATTGCAGGAAATTGAAGCTTTGGTGGCCCAGTGGCCCGCAATCGATGCAGTTGCACTAAAGCAAACCTATTATACAACTTAAGCTCTTACTAATCAAACATAATACATGACTAACAATAAGATTGTGCGTTCCTTAAAAACCTCAAACAAACTCTTCTGGATTAAGTGGGATCAAGTTAATCTAGCCCTTAATTCCTGCAATAGCTGATATAATGCCAAGAGGCCAACTGCCCATCCTTGCTACTTGTTTTCCGAGGCAGTCTGCTCCTGATCATGGAAATAAGATATGGTCATAATACCTAATTTGACTTTGCACAAGAACCTGAATTTGTGATTTACGTTACTTTAGAGAGAAATAGTTTATACCATTTGGGTTAAAATATGCTGGGTACTTTCTTGGGCATTTCTTGGAGTTGCTAAATGTTTCTGCTTTTTTCATTTCATTTTTGAACGTTTTTATAACATATTTGAATGTAAAATAGGTTTAGATTAAACTTGCTTTTTTTCCTTCTCAGGCCAAACTGAAAAAACATATTCAGAATCCAAGTGCTTCAGAATTAGTCCATTTCCTGTTTGGACCACTGGAACTGGTATAAATTACATTCTTCCTTATTCAGTGAATTTTAATCCAGAATTCCCCATCTAATGGCCTCCAAATATGTTGAACTCTAATTCCCAGAATTCTCACCCACCATATTGGGTGGGTTTTCTGGGAGTAAGTTGGAGAAGGATATCGTAACCAAAACCAGCGATAGACATGTTTTTGACACATATTACATCTTTCTAGCCTGTTTAAATATTTATCTACTCTAGGTCAGGGAGTGATTTATTCCAAGTGGCTAGAAAGCAGGAGACTATAAGTTCTCTATGAGTCCCACCTAGGCATGAAAGCCGGCTGGGTGACCTTGGGCCAGTCACTTTCTCTCAGCCCTAGGAAGGGGGCAGTGGCAAACCACTTCTGAAAAACCTTGCCAACAAAACTACAGGGACTTGTCCAGGCAGTCTCCAAGAATCAGACACGATTGAATGGATTAAAAAACAACAACTGTAATCTTGGAAGTTGAAAGGCTCATAGCAAGATGAGAGGGTTTATTTCAGTTTTCTCAGAATATTTGAGTGTGGAAATAGCAGAGTTATATCTAATGAGACAACTCACGTATTTCTACTGTGGAGAAGCACATGGCTATCTTGTGTACCACCCAAAAAGCAGAGAAGATCAAATTCTCTTTCTTAAAAGAAAAAAAAATCTGTGACACTTGCAGAGATCTGTTACAATTTTCAAAAGGTAACCGTATTAGTCTTTTCCAACAAAAGTAATAGTCTTACAACACCTTAAAGTCTAACATGAATCATTGCAAGAGACCATTCATAGCCATTCATTACTAACTCTGATGATGGAAAAAATAACAAAACATTTGGTTGTCAAGCCCTGTGCAGGAAGGTATCTTTAATGCTAGTCTGGGGTAAATATAAAATCTTGACAGCTATGTGTGGAATTTCCCAACCTCCTTTATAGTGAGTTCTTTTAGGTAGAATCTCTTTGAATGATTGAAACAGTTCTTCCCAGATTTCTCTCCACCTGAGCTAAGCTGCCATTTATGAGATAAGCTATCAACTGACCCCTCCCCCATTTATCTCTTGATGGTTTATGCCCACTTTCCCTTCCATTACTTTCCCAGCCTCCCCATAATCTCTCACAGCTGTGATGCCACAACACACCCATGCGACAACACAACCCCTTTTTTATTTGAGTTCCAAGTACATAAGCAAGAGGGTCTGAGTTGTGATGGCAGAATACACATTTTGTTACTTGCTCCCCCTTGCCCTCCCTTGCGGACACACATGAATCCACTTCATCAAACACTTATGCAATAATAATAGCATTTAAGGTTCTTTGTAAAGAACTGTTAATTTTTCAAACACTGATAAGCTTAAAGTTAGCCATTCTCTAATTAAAACTTTTGATCATTGGCTCTTGGCTGGTACAGAGGTATACAGGAAATTAAATAACAATGCTTTTGAATGATAAAACTGAGTAAAAATTGCAGTTGCACTTGAAATGTGTTTATTACATGTTGATTTATAACTTTGCTTAAAAACTGCATCTCCATCTGCTGAATTTCTGCCATTGCTGTAAATGGCAACATTCTGTAGTTAATGCAACATTTGATGCATGATGATGGATCTTCCTCTGAAGGATTTAGATGGCATAGCCCATTCACTTGAGTAGCTTGGTGCATTTTGCATTCAATTATGTATGTACTGTAAATATGGACTTTAGAAAAGTAATCATGCCACCCAGCAGTCAGTAAATAGTACATTAACTCCTATTTATCACCCAGACACTATTTAAAACGGTATCTTGGCATGGCACCAAGCTGGAAGTAAAAGTCCATAGCCAAATATTGATTTCCAGATATTTTCCTAATCTAGTAGTTTAAGTAAAGGCCTAGAGATTGATCTTCCAAATGCTTTGACCATAAAAGATTATTGAAAATCCTCATTTGTGATTTCTTGTCTGTAATCCAGATTGTTAATAGCTGTGGAGGCCCTGAATTTGCAAGGTCTGTCATCAGTCCACTTCTTTCAAAGGATACTACAGATTTTCTGAAAGGGCATCTAACACCAAAGGAGATGGCATTGTGGGAATCCTTAGGAGAGACTTGGACAAGGTCAAGGTATGTAAATAAAACAGAGCAGAAGAGGAAGCCAAACAAGGATTCTGATTTGGCTGAAGTTGGTGAAAGGCAAAGTTCCCTGAAATGCCATCTGAACAGAAATATTATAGAATGAAGACAAGAATGTGTTCCTCTGATTTTGAAAGTAAGGCCAATGGTTTTAGTATTGAAGCCCATGCTCACATCTCTTACCCACTAGTACCTCTCTTCATGAATTTAAATCCACAGAGACTCCAAAAGCACTTGTGGACCATAGCCAGAAAGTGGGATGGTTATCCATGTTATGAACAGCAGTTGTTTTGTCTCTAGCCTTGTGAGCTCATTGATAGCAATTTTATGTGAACTAAGAAATCAGAATGCTGATGTTCCAAAAATATGCTCAGCTTTGAAAAAAAGCAATTGCAGTCTGAAATGGAGAAGGGCATTATATGTTCTTGCTCCCTAGAAAATAAACTTATTTTTAATGTGTGTCCCAAGAACCGAATGGCCAAGAGATGCCAACATCCCAAGATACGTTCCAAAGTTTCACAATGGATGGGAACTACCCCTGGAAATATTTCGTGGGGCTCCATGGGAAATCGATATTGGCCATCTGCAAGAAGAGGTACCTTTGGGACTCCCTCCCTGCCTCCCTCCCTCCCTGCCCCCATGCCTGCCTGCCTGCCTGCCTTCCTGTTAATTTAGTTACTTACTCAAATTGTGAGCCAAATATACTGCTGTTGTTGAAGTAGATAAATAAATCTATGAATGGTTCACATTCGTTATTTTAAAGTTTGGGGAGGTGAATTGATCATTAAAGACATGTTGAACATTTTTGATACTAGTTAA